TGGGCATCTCTAGTTCAGGGGTCAGCATACTGCGGCTCTGGAGCTGCATGTGGCTCTTTTGTCCCTCTGCTGCAGCTCCGTCACCAGTCAATGCCACAATTTTGAGAGGAGCTTCCGGGGGGGTGGAGGAGGAGAAGCACAGTGCGCTAGGAGAAGACTCTACGGCAAGGGGAGGGTTTTCCAGTTGTCTCCACAATTGATAGGGCTTTCGGTTATGACAGGTAGAGGAAAAAGGACGCCGCGCTAGAAGGAGACTCTCTGGTGGGGGAACTGAACTTCTGGTCAGCTCCAGCATTGAACAGGGGGCTTCCGGTTAGGACCTTTGTGGCTCCCGGTGTTTTCTTTTCTGGGGAAAACGGGTCCAAATGGTTCTTTGAGTGTTTTTGTTTGCCGACCCCTGGTCTATGACAAACTCCTTGCCTTTCAGAGATGGACGTGACTGGGGGGATCACATCAGAAAATTTGAAGGCCACCCCGGTCGCTCTTGGCCAGGCAACGATGATGGGGGCCCACCAGGACGTGAACATGAGCGATGGCGAGGTAATTAGTTCTGTTCCCTTCACAGCTGTATTTTCCCTTTGGGAAAACTCCTGTTGTTGTTTAGGCTTTGGGGATGGGACATAGGCAAGGTTGAGCCTTCCAGGATCCTATTCTGTGCGGAGCAGAAAAGCCAAGGAAAGAAATATCTATTATGTCTGCTTCTTTATTTATCCCCTTAAGCTTTCTCCATTCTTCAGATTACAGGTAGTCCTTGACTTACAGCCACAATTGAGCCCGAAATTTCCATTGCTGAGCAATGTTTTGCCTCAGGTTACGACTTTTCTTGCCACAGCTGTTAAGCGAATCACTGCAGTTTTTAAGTTGCCAACAACGGTTGCCAAGTGAATCTGGCTTCCCCCACTGACTTTGCTTATCAGAAGGTCGCAAAAGGGGATCACGTGACCCCAGGTCGCTGCAACGGTCATCAATACACGCCAGTTGTCACATTTTGCAGTGGTGTTGTAACTTCCAACAGTTGCAAAACCAACGGTTGTGAGTTGAGGAGGGTCTGTATGGTCTCCTAAAACCATCATTTCCACAATTTTTTTTAAAAAAAGGGCTTTCCTTCAGGCTTACTGTTTTTGAAATGAACGGAGTGACCAAGGAGGATTTGAAGAAATGTTAGAGTCATTTCTTGAACGTTGTTGAGCTGACCAATCTTCCTTTTTTTTTTTTTTTTTGGTGTCCTTATGTGAATAGTGCTTTGTGTCCCCTGGGTAATGTCCAGATATTCTCCCCCCTTTCAGCTCTCCTGTCCCAGGGCAGCCAAGCCTATTGTGGGGGCACAGCAAGAACCCTATGTCTGTTCCTTCTCTAGTTGGGCTCTTACATCTGGGCAGAAGGAGAAACCAGTTGGTGCAACTCAAAACAGCTTTTGGGAATGGTATTTATAGTCAGACAGGATCCTATGAAGGAAGCTCTGTTCCCAAAGCCTGATAGGTTCAGAAATTAACAGAAGGGAATATCTATAGCTTGTAGTTCAGGCTTAAACTGTGGACTCCTTGATGGTGTCTGATCTTGGTGATTTTGTTGCAGACGTTTCATGACCCAGCTAGACGACATCATCAGTGATAGAAGGGAGTGTGGGGTTTGCTCTTATGTAAACACAGAGCAAGTGGAATTTGCCACGACCGTATTTCCCCGAAAAGAACACAGGGTCTTATTTTCTTTTGACCCCCGAAATAAGCGCTTGGGCTTATTTTCGGGGAGGTCTTATTATTTTTGAGGTGCAGGAGGAGGAGGAGAGTGTGGTCACCTCATGGCTGCTGCTGTGTTGCAATATTTTCGGGGAGGGCTTATTTTAGCGCATGCGCTCAAAAGCCCGATTGGGCTTATTATCCTGGCAGGCCTTATTTTCAGGGGAAACAGGGTATCAACTCAGACAAACCATCCAACAGTAAGGAGCAACCTCATTTAAGTAACTGCCAAAAGGAAAACACCACTGACAGGGCAAGACTGTGTGCAGGTAGTCCTCAACCTACGACTACAAAGACCAGCTGGCCGGCATGCCAGAACCCAGAAGAGCAACAGGCGATGGCTTGCGTGCCCACAGAGATGGCTCTGCATGCCACTTCTGGCACACCTGCCATAGGTTCGCCATCACAACCCTATAGCATTCTGTCCAATCTCTTCTTGAAAACCTCCAGTGATGGAGCACCCACAACTTCTGGAGGCAAGCAGTTCCACTGATTAATTGTTCTCATTGTCAGGAAAATTCTCCTTAGTTCTAGGTTGCTTCTCTCCTTCGTTACTTTCTATCCGTTGCTTCTTGTTCTGCCTTCAGGTGCTTTGGAGAATAATTTGACCCCCTCTTCTTTGCGGCAGCCCCTCAAATACTGGAACGCCACTATCATGTCACTCCTAGTCCCGTTATCTCTTTGGGTCATGAAACGCCCGCCAAAAACAAGGGCAGGGAGCAACAAGGGCTTCACAAGTTCTGAATTGCTCTCCTTCCGAGGGTTCCTTTTCCTGTTCTGTTCAGATCGAGGAGTGGAGGAAACGTGACAGATAGTTTCAGAGCAATTCAGACCTTGCAAGTGTTTGAATTACTCCCGTCTTTTCTAGGTGGGGGCAGAGAACGGCGTGGCCACATAATGCCGCGAGGTGGAATGTCTGGGTAAGAAGCCTTCAGCCTTCTGAATTCAGAGTAAGGTTAACCTTTTCTCATTATGCATTTGACTTACTAGCAAAACTAGACGGTTTTTTAAATGGCAGTCTCCCCCTCTGCTTCCCAAAGTGGCCCTTCCTCTCCCAGTACAGCATTTGGAGGGTTTTTTAAATGTTGCATTATCTAGCTGTGATCTTAAGAGCACCCTAAGGGGCCCATTTATATGTTTTAAACCCATGTTTTCCTTCCTATTCAACCTTAGGGTCCTGGATTACTTAATTTTTTTTCCTCTTGCCTTTCCTTGGAGGGAAGAGGGAGACTGTCCAGCCCATCTCATCGGGGGAATTCTGGGAGTTGAAACCCACACATTCTGGCTGTGGAATTCTGGGAATTCACACATCCTTTCTGGGAATTAGAAAGCCCACCCATCCTGGCTTGTTAAAGTTGCCAAAGTTAGGAAACTGGTGCAGCAAAGTTCACCTGGCCTGAACCAATTTGGTGCTGCCACCAGGGTAATAATTCCTTGCAAAAGGGGAAGGAGCATGGGGCACAGCTGGGAATGAGGGCTCCTGGCCTATGGCCCTCCCCTTCTCACGGTGGTCTCTCCCTCTCTCTCCCCCTCTCTCTTTTCCAGGCAAGGAGGATTCATCCCAGGTGGCCTGCAGGAACCGACTGCCCAGGGAGAGGGCTTTGCAGGACAAGAGAGGGCAAACCGACCCGGCGACCCCCGGTTCAGCTGTCACTATTGAATGTTTTTATTGTTTTTAACTGTACAAATGGCAACCAAGATGAGGGACAAAGATACTCGACACCACGACTCAGTGTGTACCACTGACTGTGACTCTTAAGTTAACCTTCATTGTTTCACTTCCTAGCTCAGTATGTGAAGCCATTCATCATAATTATTTTTTTTTTTTGTAACGTGTTTCTGTAGGTGCTGCCGCACACGCTCATCCTTTCAAAGAAAACGTGTTTCTTTTACGAGGCATTCCATTTTCTATAAATAAAGGGGGAAAAAAGTACGATTTACAATCGCCCCGATGCTGGTTCTGAGGGCTTTTCAGGAAGCATCCGGCCTCAATCGCCTCCCGGGAAAAGGTCCCAAAGGTGGTTTTTCACCAGAGGCAACTGGACTTTTCTTGTTTTTCTTGGAAGACCTTTCGCTTCTCCTCCAAGAAGCTTCTTCAGCTCTGACTGGATGGTGGGGAATGGAAGGATTTATCCTCCTTGCAGGCAGCTGGTCCTTTGCATCCTTTGAGAGAGTCGTTGAGGCCACTTGGAGGCTTATCTGTGTCATCAGGATCACTTGAGTAGTTCTTGTAGACTGCAGTTCTTTCCTCTAAAAATTGCAAAGGAAATTTGTATTTGTATTTTATTATTTGTATGCCGCCCTTCTCCGGGAGGACTCAGGGCGGCGAACAATTCAAAGGGGCAAAAAGGGG